ATAAAACTAATGGTTTGCGAAAATAAAGTGACGATACGCTCGCTTCGTTAAGATTCGTCATTTAAATATAGTTTAAGGTATTATTTAATAAGTATAGCGTAAGCTACAAAACACAACTTGAATTTTAAATGTTTGATTTTTAGTTGTCATATTTTTCTGTATAGAATATATTAATATATGTAAATTTATTTCAATACACAGCACAGTTTTAGAATAACATGCTTTTAGGAAAATTCTTGTAACAGTTCATGTCGTCGAAGTCTGTCGGCGCTTTAGAGATGACTATAACATACGTTCTGTACAACAACAGACTACTAAAACGATACTTAAAATACGGGAGACCGCAGGAAAATATTAAGCTTTGATTGTAGTTTATGCGAGTAGACATTTCAATAAAATAATTTTAAGGTTTTTTTCCAAATATATTAGCTTAGTTTCTCGTTTTAGACCTTTAAAAGTGTTCTATTTTAAGAAAAATATTTAGAATCAAAATTTTAGAAATTTTAACATTCATAGTAATTAAAGTTATATAATCCCTTAATTAACAACGCTATTTGCCTAATTTACCGGGTATATTTTATCAAAGACAATGCACGGACTAAAATTAATTTCGTCTCACCCATGTTCTTCAAATATTACGGCGTACGCGCATACTTGGCGCTTCGCCACTCAGCACGCCATCCAGATGTTAAAACATGGCTGTCTTTGTAGTTTACACAAGTGTCGACGTAATCGCGAAACATTTAATTAAACTCGGACCATTAATTTTTATGTGCGATATGTCTTATCGATTAAAAGCAATTAAAGAAGTAGTTACAAAACAGCGTTATTGTAACTAACTATTCTATGACGAATTATAAATGCCAATACATATGTTTAAAATTAAATATATTTGTCAATATTTACTAAAGGTTTAAGCATTAGTGGCCAAGCTTAAAACCCCAGAATACAAGTCGCCGCACTCGGTAACAAAACTCGATTTTCCTTGAACTTTCATACATTGTATATTAATTATCTGCCACTTGACAGTCTCGGCCGCCACACTATATTACTTATTTGACGAAAATATTTGTACATAACATAGAAAGAAAAGGCGAGAGAGAATATTCGATACTTCGTAAAAGTTATAACAAGATACTGTGGCCTAAACAGGCATATTCCAATATCATATTGGAAGCAAGCAGGGATCTTAAATTCCTGAGTTCATAGAATGCAAGGAAACGAGCTTCAATCTACTCACTGAATGGTCTACGTACTCAAAGTTAAGGCAAATACACAGGAGAAGTGACAATATAATATAGGATAATATTAAAGAATTGACGATGGAAGAAATATTGAGATTCTGTAGAGAACACTTGAAGTAATTATCTCAATGTATCCTATTGAGATAACCCAGTGTCCTTGTAAAGGGGGAATGGGGAAGTGGGTGAAATGGCTACCAGACACACTAGACTAGCTTTTACTGGTGTCCTCAATAATAATAAGATATTATATTCGATCTTTCTTTCCTTTGCGTCTGCGCAGCTGTGAGTAGCTGGAATGTTATTTTACCGTAAAACGTTAAGTTTTCCATTCTTATTGATAGTCAACCAAATGAAGAGTCAACGTGCGTACTACAGAATCTTAAATGGTCCCTTTCCGTTCACTCGCCTGTCGTTGCTTGAATATTAAGTGGGTACATTGTACCTATATTGGAAACAGGTGTTTGAATAAATAGAAAGATTCCATCTGAATTTTTTCTATATTTTAAGAGGAACCATTTTCATAGATCACGATTGCTCACATCTAATATCCTAAATAATACAACAAATTAAAGAAAATACATGACGTATTAGTTGTAGTGTTGTCTGTAGTTTACGCGAGTATATCACATTAAAATTCGAGTTTTAATCTGTTAAAAGGATTGTATTTAAAAATATCGTAAAGTGCAAAGTAGCAGCCACAGCACAAAATCGTTTTACATCTCGTTTTAAGCAGTAGTCTTCGAATATAGTTTTTTCCTTAGTCGTCGTTAGACAAGAAACAATTGTTTAAAATAATTTTGCGAAGCTTTTATTGAAGGCAAAGTAAAATACCGGAGTTGGCTATTAAATAACAAAAGACACGTGTATTTAAACTGGCACTTTGACAATTAAATATAATGCAATGTTATGAGACACAGATTGTAATGGACTATAGTCCACCATCATATAGTCTACTTGAATTATTTACATAGACAATTCAACACTTTAAGAAGCTTATATTTATTTTCACGCTTTAAAGCGGTTTACAATCTTGGCTTATCGGTTGTTTAAATTTAAAAAATAAATAGATCATTCTGTACGTTTTTATTTAATTGCATATTGTGATTTCTAGTGCTGTTACTGTTAAGCAAAATAGGGAGATTACGTTTTTTTGTACTAAGGCTCTTATAGAAAGATTTTAATTTTCTTATATTAACTATTACAAAGTAAAAAATTAAAAGAGGATTTTGTGAATAATACAACAGTCTACATGTTGCCACTATTAAAGGCCAAACAATGTAAAGAACACTTTAGTTGTATTGTAAATTGCAACCACATTTAAACATACAAGATTTGCCAATAAATTTACTAATATATCGCGAATGTTCAATTACAGCTTGGTGATAAAATACTAAAGTATATCCTTCCTATCCTTTTTAACGGAACCTAAAAATATATCTACAGAACGCATTATCTTTGGAAAATAAACAGTCGAATCTCCCTGAACTAATTTTGACGCGTGTTTACCGTTCGTTTGACGTAGAATTTTTATAAACAGTCCTACGTTTGTCCGTGACGTCACTAAAGAGAAAACATGCGAGCCGTGAATAAGCTCCATTCATCGTTTAAGCCCGGGATTACTATATTACGCTCAGGATGTTCAAATTCTTTGGCAGTTAATGGTACTTGTGTGGGCGGTTCGGTAGTAAAATCTATAATTCAACTCGTACGCCGCTCCACGCTGATTTTGCTACTAAATTCGTGTTTATTATTTGCCTCGTTGGTTTAATGCACTCGACTTTAGATCACGGTGTCCTGATTTCGAATCCTGAGTAAAGCAAAATGTTATATTAGTATTTAAAAAAAAAAACGACCAGTAGCAGCAAGTTGATAGGTGAATTGTCCTCGTTTTCCACATTTTCCTCTTTATCTTAGCTCCGGTCGCAGCTTGATCAAAAAAAGCTTCCTCGATAAACGGTCTAACCAACACAAACATAAAGGTTCCTAAGAGATCGCTCAAACATAAGCCGCCCATTCACTCCATAACTTGTAAAAATAATTTATCGTTTTAACTTTAAGAATGTTTTTTTTTTTAAGGAAATATATTGTGTACTTGTGTGTTGCAATAAAAAATTAAATAAATAATAAATAAATTTTTAATTCGAATCAGTAGCTCCTGAGATTAGCGCGTGCAAACAAACTTATGAGCTTTATAATCAAAGTATAGATTAAAGAAGAAGAGAAAGAAGAAAACATTAATATGTCAAGAGGTTCCCATTTAAATAAGTTTAATTGTCCGTCAGTACTTTATGTGTTTTCGCAGCGACATTTAACAGTCACACGAAAACATATCGATTGATCTTAAGCATCCGGTATGTTCCAGTCTAAATTAATTTATTCTTTTTAACGGACCCTGGTTTCAATCGCAAAATGTCAACCGCAGTGAAAGCACTTACGTATATGACCTTGTGTCTATTTACCAAAGTACTACGAGCCATACTGGACTAACTAGTTTATTCTTATGGCTGTTCGCTTCTTTTAGCAACATAGATTAAGCCTCAACTTCTCCGTTAAACCATAGACTATGCATGCAAACCACAAAGCATGGTCGACGGTTGTCTATGGATTTTAAAATGCTAATTTTGACATTGTCTGTAGTTTACGCTACGAGTAGTACACATTTAAATAAAACACTTTAACGGTTTAAAACGCGAAATGTATTAGTTACACTTATTTCAAACGGCCCGCCGTTTGTAAGTAATATATTTTACGTTTTAAGAGTTTTATCTAAATACTAATTTTGTTTTAAGCTGTTAATGTCTAATTTCTAAGCACAATACAAGACCCACCTACTCGGGATTGATGGGCTTTTACGATTAGCATTACAAATTGATAAGATAACCCCCAAAAAAGGTTTGATTGCGCACCATATAAAAAGCAACTCATGCAAAGCAAAAATTTAAGTTTCCACCACATTGTGTGCAATTCTAGATAATTGTCAACGTTTTGGCAAACATTCAGATCAAACCAATTTTGTATTCTTAAAATACGTTCGTTACACTAAAAAAAGCGTGTGAATCAAGCTTACAAATTCGCCGATTTGTTGTTGACAAAATATTATCGTCTTTTGAAGTACACTAGGTACTGGTTGGGTACACAAATAAGGAACAATTTATTTCGGATAGGTATTTGGATTTAAGAAATACTAATCATTGTTTTTATAACTTTCACTTTTATTAATTATCATTTGTAACCGCATTAAAATGTTGTTGTAAGTAATAAGTTGATATTAAGTACTATCTATACTTATAGTTTACGCGAGTAGTACATGTTTCTATAAAACACGTTTAACGGTTTAATACGTCGGCCGTAGTTAATATGTTGTTTATAATACGTTTGACTAATACATTTCGCGTTTTAAACAGATTAACGTGTTTTATTTAAGTATGATATTTCTATACTTTATATATAAAACTAAAGCCTTTTTTTTGAACCCTTATAAGAACAAAACGTTCATAATTACTTTTTAATGCAAATTATAGATAACGAAACAATGAAATACTGTCTATAGTTTACGCGAGTAGTACACATTTAAATAAAACAACAGCCGTGGTCACGGGGAGTCTCCCCGTGACCACGGCTGCTGCAAAGCATCCGAAACGTCGGGCCGAAGTTAAAAGTCATTCTCGAATAAGTTTAACTAATATATCGCGTTTTAAACCGTTAAAGTGTTTTATTTAAACGAAACAATGGTCTAATAGTAAGTTTTATTTCCAGGATAACTGGTGGGGAGCTATTCGAGCGAGTCATAGACGAGGACTTCGTGCTGACAGAACGTGCATGCACCGTGTTCATGCGGCAGATATGCGAAGGAATTGAGTTTGTGCATCGGCAGAACATTTTACATCTTGACATGAAGGTAAACGTTTAGAAGCAAATAAAAGCATGTAAAGGCATGACAGCATCTAGACGTTACTAGACATAGTGTGGTACATATAACATTTGACTATAGTTTATACTGGACAGACATGTCCAGTATAAACTATAGTATGTATATGTATACAAAGATGATGGTTGTTCATTTGATGGTTGGTGAAATACTCCAGCCATATAACGTCTACACTAGATGCGCTGTCCACGTATTTTCGCTTTGGATATTCGGAAATTCTCAGACAGGATCCGAAACGCGGTTAAAGTTGACGGAATCTCGAAACTCCTAGCGCCTATTTATTATCCAGATTTATTAATTGATTGGAAAAGTGTTAGACCCGGTGAGGATCCAACCCTGCTACTATTACACTAACGATGGAGGGGGTCGATATATAATTATCTAGGATCCAGATTATTTTATGTACCTACACCATTTCGTAATGTCTAAACGAATATATTGAAATAACGCGGTTGTCAGCGGTGCGTGAGTTCAAATTGGTTGTGCTCCAAGTCGTTAATCAAAATGGCGGAAAAGTATGCGCAGGAGTTTTATGATTGTCTGCAGCCACGTCGCCATGATTGTTTATTTTATTTGCCAGCTCTTTCTGACTAACGATATTAACGTGTCCACTTCAAAAAATACCGGTATAAATATATCTCAATGTTATTTGTAAATATAGAATGCTTGACTTCCCGCCTCTACCAGGTTTAATGGTCCAATGAGCATCAATCTGTAATGCTGAAGAGCATCTTAGCTTCCTATTCTGGGATAACGTAATGCTAGTTCGGTTGGATAGGGCACTGAGCTTGGAATAACCATTGCAGTAAAGAGTTAGAATGTAATCCTGACGTTTGTAGATTAAAAATCAGTGTAATATTTTTTTTTCCTATAATACCTTGAAATAATTTCAGCCAGAAAACATCCTATGTCTCACAAAGGCAGGCAACCGGATCAAGATTATTGACTTCGGCCTCGCTCGCTTCTACGACCCAGAAAAGAAATTGCAAGTTCTGTTCGGGACACCAGAGTTCGTGGCTCCAGAAGTGGTCAACTTTGATCAAATCGGCTATGGAACAGATATGTGGTCTATTGGCGTTATATGTTATGTACTGTAAGTATGAACTATCCTCTTTTAAAAATAACCTAACAAGTACCGGCAGCTATCTTTGTTTATGCGTGTCCTCCTCCTCCTCCAGCCTCTCAAAAACTTTTGTAAAACAGCCCTTATAACTGGGAAGAAACAGTAGATCACGTTGTAAGATTTATTTTGAAAAATAGAAATCAATTAAAATGTAGAGGCAATTTGATATCATGAGAAATTCTGTATTTCTTATCTGTAAAGCTCACAGAGGCAGTTTATAAATGTCTTAAGCGTCATTTTGTCATTTTTCAGTCTATCCGGATTATCACCGTTCATGGGAGAGACGGATGTCGAAACCATGGCAAACGTTACAATAGCCAAGTACGACTTCGACGATGAAGCATTCAACGAAATCTCCGAAGATGCAAAGGACTTCATTCGGAAACTGCTCGTGAAGGACAAAGAGTAAGTTTGTTTTTTGTACAGTTTAAACAACTAGTCGCTTTAATCTTTACAAAAGTCAAGAGAATTTGACAAAATGTAAAAGCGATACTTCAGTTACACGTACATAAGTAGTACCTGTCGATAAAGACCCTTTGTTACTTGGTTCTAGACCAACACTGAGTGATCTAACACAGCATTACATTATCTACTATTTAACACGTAGACATCCAGGCATGACTTAACCTTACAGTAGTTAAACATAGTAGTATTAGACGATATTTTAGATGGTTGTAGCTGTAAATTTGAACCCACCTTTCGATTCCTCTTACATCATCCGCTTTCCTTGTGCATAGAATTTGAGGTGTTGGGATAATAGTAACAAGGGTCTTTGTCGCAGGTCACGGCCGACGGCTACGGAGTGCTTACGTCACCGATGGCTCATCAAACGAGCACCAGTGAAACAAGACACGCCACGACAACAACCGCGCCTCTCGCCCAAGCAGGAACTAGATATGGCGAAAGATAATCTGCGACTTTTCGTCGAACGATGGAGCGAGCATCCTAATTCACCTTACGTCTTTGACAATAAATCACAGGAGATCCTTTCTCTTGTCAACGGCGAGAGGTCTTCGATTGGAGGATGCTCGCCGTCGCCCAGAAGCTCTCTAAGCAGTTCTCCAGATGTTGTATTCGACGAAGACGACCTGGATCCACCTCCTCTAAGGGAAACGGTTAATATCAAAACTAGGTATAATCCAGTCGAAAGAAGAGCATCAGATAGTAGTTGCTTCTTACACAAGCGACCTGATGTTTTAGTAAGAAAGAATCTAGCTGAAGAAATAAAGAAATTATCAGACCACCTCTTTATGCTGTCGACTATGAATACGGACTTGACAAATAATAATAGTATGAACGAAATGGACAAAAATGTCTTAGAGAGAAAGTTTTCCAAAGATAACAAAGTCACGAATGGTTACAAGACTGATTCGAGAACAACCTTTACAAAAACATCGACAAATGGCGATGCTTCATGTAGTGAAAAGAGAATATTTACGTCAAAATCAACGAACAAAATAACGTCCTCATTTTTAACGGAAAGAGAGCCCGAGAAGCCGATGACTAGTAAGATGCCTTGGGTCAAAAGTAGACCAAAAAGAGTAACGAGTACAAGCAGGGATGTTCCCGACCAACCTACGGAGAAACGCAACACATTCTTCGAAGAATTTGACCGAAGACGTGACAAGATAGACAAATTGGTGAACGGTTACGAGAACGGTAGACAAATGCCATACAGACGAGGCGACGAAAACAACGCCCATCGGACTAAAGATCTCCTCTTGCATCTCCTAGAGAAATGGGGAGAAACAGAAGATGTAGAAGCGGAAAGGACAGCTGGAGGCACCTCGAACGGAGGTAGACATCAGTCCATATCGCTGGAATGGTCTCCGTCCAACCAACTCGCCCAGAACTCAATGTCAAGTCTACATGCCTTCTTTAAAAGACAGACGTCTGATGAAAAGAAGCAGAGGAAAAAAGTGACAACCTCGAGTTCCAAATAATTAAAATGAAACAGGGACTGTGCCATGACATTATTCAGAAAGTTGAACCCCGTACAATATAGAACGTAAAAGAGTATCCATCTACAATTGTTCTCAACAACATAAAAAATTCTAAACCATGTTTTGGTATAACAATTACTATAACAAATAATGTTTATCTTTCTGAATGAATTGTTGGTTACCAAAGTAGCTAAATGACATTACTTGTAAGATTTTCTATAAAAATGACATAAGATGACAATTTTTATACGAATCTAGTCTCCATACTCAAAGCTCTGTACCAGCCGCTTACAGAACAAGACTGAGATACGATTTTGGATTTTTTTTACAATACATTCACAATAATTTATATTATCTACATTGTAAATAAGTTATATTTTAGTTCAGCATTAAGATTACTTCTGCATACATCCATATTTTGTTCCTTAACCGTACTTAAGATTTTGTGCTATATTAAGTATAATTTATTGTTAAATAAATATGTAACTATGTTGTTTTAATATAAGGCTTGATAATAAGATGTGTTTTATTTTGAGTGAGTAGACAAACCGAGTAACTATTTATTGGCCAGCCATATTCGCACTGTGTAAATCAGCATTAAGTAAGTTACTTCTATTAAACATTATATCATTAAATGTTGCATGTCTAATGGCGGATGGAGGGGTCATGACGTCCCCCATGGCATTATTAAAATACCTACTTTTTACATGTATCGAAAAATATATTATTGTTATTGAAATTAAATTATAAGTTTTCGACATGACAACGACTATGAGACCTCCTCCTAACTCTAAAGCTAGGTCCGCCCTTGCACGTGTCATCTACCACCTTACATACCAATACCAAAATATGACATTCACTAGGTCGCTTAACTTTATAAATGTAATTATTTGGGTCTCAGGCATTTCCTAATTTGTTATTATGTGTTTAGAGATCGTCTCACGGCGTCAGCAACTATAACTCATCCTTGGCTCATCCAGTCGTCACTCTGTACGGAGCTACATGTCACGAAAACAAAACTAAAACGTTACGTTATCAAGAAAAGATGGGCAAAAGCTGTGGCTGCCGTTATAGCTTTGAAGAGAATGGGCGCCAAATTCGATGATCACGAAGTAAAGTGCGATAAATCGTGAACGGGGTAGCTTTACCTTATCTGTGCCAATGGAAAGGCAGCTGTTTTTCATAATAATATAGTCGATAATCATTAAAATTAAGAACCTTCTTTGTTCCTATTCCTTACACTGGTTGTCGCCAGACTAATCTCATAAAACCTACCTGTGCTACACTTATTGTAATGAAAGTGGTATGTATTTCCAAAATAAAAAACCAATTACGGTCATATTTAGTGAAGTTAATTTTTATGCAAAGTAAATAATGCGAACGTCGTTTAAAAGAAAATAACAACACGCACTTCACAGTTTATCAATAATATTACCTTAGAAGCGTCTGTGGTTTTTGTTAATCCAAAATATATCTACGCTCATGAACTACTCGGCCGATTCAAATGGAATTTTGCAAATACAATTTGAAACTTTGCAGTCATAAGTAGGTATTAGATATGTGATAAGTCTGCGGCATCTCGTAAAAAACTCAACTTACAAAAGATAATTCGAATATAATGATACCCTTCACAGCTTTCTTGTGTTATATCTCAACGGTTGTAAATGAAAACAAATTAGTATTATTTTAGAGGCTACAAGAGCCACGTTGCTTTCTAAATTAGAAATGCATGTATTATATTAAATTTGAGATACTTACTAAGAACAAAATATATTATTTACCTAAACATTAATCCAAGGGTATGTTAAAACAGTTTAGAATATAGGTACCATAATTTTATTATTTAACTTCGCAAATAAAATAAAAATTACCAAGACTTTAAATATAAATGCATTTTGTGTTTTGTAATCGTTTCAGGGAGGAAAATTTAAAAGTTAACATTCTTATGCATATTTACTGCAATTATAATTTACTTTACTGCCTTTCTATGAAAATAATGTCAGTTTTTTAGTTTTTTAATTATACCTTACTAAAGCACTAAGAAACTATTGCTGTTTTTATAACTGTATGTGTGTATAACTGTTTTTCCCTTTTGAGGGTAGTTACAAGTTTGATGAGTTAACTTTTACCTACCTGAAAAAATGAGATCAATAACAAATACTTGTACTTGCATTATATTGCATATCGTTTTATTTATTTTGCGTTTGAACTTTTAATCCATGATAATAAATAAATAATCTCATAAGTAACAAACACTGATCTGTGAAAAAATTATTAATAATTACATTTAAGCTAACATTTAACCTAAAAAGACATTAATATGTACTAATTTAAGGGTGGATATTGTGTATATATAGAAGAATTTTCATATTTATTGGTTATAAAATTGATTTGTCATAAGTTTCTCTAATTATAAGATGTTTTCTCAAAATAAATCTAAGCCGTAATTCGTAAAATTATTCATACTAACGTTCACTACATTATTCGTGAACTACCTTAAAAAATATACGAGATTCTAAACCTACTTGCCTATACCTGAGGGATAGCCTGTAGGTAAAAGAAGGGGAGCAACAATAAAAAAAAACTTATTGCGTCCAGTTTTGCATACGTTTTAAATGAAAAGCCTTTCTTTGAAGTATATCGGAATGATATATAGTTAACATATTTACAATAAATACCTAGGTCTTAGGTAGCAATCTATCACACAACATGCTGTAATTTTATTCTCTTAAGTTATGTAGTGGACAAGTCGCACAAGATATAAAATTACTAACTAAACATATCCAGTAATACATAAGTCATATATAATTGTTATGCATTTAAATTGGGTAATTTTGTATCGAAATAAGGAAGGAAATAAAGTGACTATATTTTAAATTGTTTTATTTCTAGAACACCTACCTTTTTACACTACTACTACGACAACAAATATTGGAATAATAAAAAAAAATAACTGTTTACGTGTTGTCTAGCCATAGATTTTTTGAATTAAAAGTCAATCATAAATGAAACAAATCAAAGACTCTGGCAGGACTTGAACCGGCATGCACAGCATACTGATCTGTTGCTTAACTAACCAATTAGGACTCTGACCCGGCTCAAGTCCTACCATAGTCGTAATTTTTTTCAATTATCGATTTTTAATTCATATATTGCCATCATGTTTTCAGTACATTTTTACTAAAGCAGAACAACAAATGCCAATTCCATGTTTTAATACGTAAAATTTATTTATTTATTAACAAAATCCTAAGCAAACTACTAGAGGCAATTAATTAGAATATTTACAAATAATAATTTATACATTCATGACATCATATTACAGGTTATAAACGAGTACTAATGACGTATCCAGGGATGGGGTGTGTTTTTTGTATGCATGTGTAAGTGAAAATGAATCTAAGTTCTAAGAAGGGACATTTAAAATCAATCTTTGAAGAATTACAATCTTAAACATATTTAACCTAAGAACTTAGTCGACTTCAGACTTTCAGAGATTATCCAAAATTCTAATTCTTTCCAACTCGGCCAACGTGCAACAAAATAAACCAGTTTTTATTGCCACCTCTCAATTAGTAATAGCTCTTATCACTGGTGCATAATTTAACAGATTCGTGTGCGGGAGTACTTTTTGCTTGCGTTTGCAGTATTTCAGGGTGCTGTGCTTGCCCCGAAGCATCCATCAATATGTAGCAAGGCCAATGCGCGTCTAACCCTTAACTGAGCATAACCTAGCATCCCAATACAAATAAGCTCGGGTACATAAGGGGATATAAAGGGTAACTACTACCAATATTAAGGTATACTTTGCTTTGTCTGGGCTCCAGATAGCTGCACAGCATTCTAGACGACTCCGAACCAGTGTCATTCTTAATACAAATTCCAAAATCCTTATTGCAAATTTTTATGGTCTCGAAATTATAAGTAGGTGGAGTCCAAGATCTGATCTCCGTAACCCTTTTTTAGAGGTAGCCCACCTATATTAAAACCATGCAATATTGGCGAACGTACTCGATTGAAGGAAATAACTGCACACTTGGATGTGTGTCTTTATATCATGGAAGGACTTCAGAATATCTATCTTTTGTCTATACTAGAAGGTTCCCAATGAAAGACTTGATTTTTCGATTTTTTTATATTTTTATAAACCACGCTGTGATATTGCAGTGCCCGTAACAAAACATAGCAATACCACAGCGCGCACCGACAAGCACAATTAACGGTAAGACTTCTGGTATCTGGCGCGGGCACCTGGACCGCCGAATTTCTTGGGCTCGCAGCGCCTGGGGTCGGCGACTAACAAACTCCTGTCGTATTGAACAAGAATGTCTTTGATTTCCTTCTTTGAAGCCTCATCCACGACTGAAAAGTTTAATTGATTATTAAAAGAAGTCTTAAGTTCCTTGTATGGAAAACATGAGATATCATAGAGTTGATTAACAAAAATATTTTTTTTGTTGTTGTGTAGTTCTGTGTCTCCACAGATAAAAACTGAAATTGGCGTACACAAAACATAGCATAATGTCATAAATATCAGGTTTTTTACTTCCTTGCAAATCTAGTATATTATTGCATTTAACATATGTGTAAGTTTTTATTATTTGAGTTAAATTTAATACAATTATTTGATTTAATGTTGTGATCATTTCAAACTAGCCAAGTATTAAAGACAAAGGCTGCTTGGTAAATGTCACTATTGATCTTCCTTCTCTGAAATGACTACCTTACATTTGGCAAGGCAGCTTTGGAAAGAAGGGTATTACATGTATATGTGACAGCATTAAAAACAATTGAAAACCTATGTTGAGTAAAACATAATGAGATACAGTTGTATAAATAATTTAAATAAAGTCTTTTTTAAATATTGTAAATACTTACATTTCTGGTAGAAGGCAATCAGAGCCTTGGAGATGGCCTGTCTGATGGCATAGACCTGTGCGACATGACCACCACCCTTAACTGTAACTCTGATGTCAACTCCTGAGAATTTCTCCTGAAGAATTTTAAAATGATTAAAAAAATAGCCTAAGCAAAGAAATAAATCAATTTTAAGGTACTATTCAGAATATTTTGCTACATCAAATCTAGTGATCAGGTTCGGAATAAGTTGTATTCATCATTATAAAAAATAAATAAGCTTGCTTTGTGTAGCCCTTAAAAAAAACAAAAGCCATGTAGTATATTTTATAAACAAGATTGACCTAGTTTTTGGACTCAAAAAAGATTTACACAACTATAATTAAGTAAAATATAACATTTCAAGGTATGGACTAATAACTAGTTCTATACTTTAACTATAATCAAAGTGTAATATGAAATTAATGATTTTTTTTACCTTGCCAAGCAAAAGGATAGGTTCTTGAAGTTTGTATTGTAGAAGACGGGGTTCTACCAAGTCAAGGGGACGTCCGTTGACTCTGAGTACTCCATGACCACGCTTGCAGTATGCTACTGCTGTGGCGGTTTTCTAAAACAAATGTCATTATTATTTTAAAGGTTATGTACTAAAGTTGTTTATGTGTTGTAAAGACGCTTGAATATTGTCGTTCCCATCTAGACCACGTCAATGTATAACAATTAATGTGGCTGGGTAGGATGAAAACTTTTATTTCCCTTTAGTAAAAAGACGATGGTAACAAATTTGGTTATCAACAGTCGGCGCTAAAGGGATTTACATAACTACAATATTTATATTATTAATTATTCTAGGACTAAGAATTAACGGTAGCGCTGTCTGCCTATACTAGGGTTAAAAGCTTTAAAAAATGTTAATAAAACTAGAATAAAACACGTGGACTTGACGACAGATACTCACTTTGCGGCCGAACACCTGAACGGCTTGAATTGGTTCACGTCTCGCCTGAAATCACGATCAAGATAATTAAAATTACACATAATTAATTTTGCCAAATGTACTTTATTAAACTTTTATCATTTAATTAATAACACGCACCTCTTGCACGGCAGCCATTTTGACAGAGAAAGAATGAACTCTAACAGATATCATAAATATTACAATTCATGACAACCGAACTACAGAGTATAATCATTCAAAATATTATTGTCTATGGTACAAGGTATGTACCTTACATTTAAGTAAATTTAAAACAATTTGAAATGTTTATTTTTCATAATTCATATGTTGAATTTACATTAAAGTCTGAAATTAATTTTTATTTCATCGACAGTGCTGACATCTGTTAAAAAATACTTGAAAGAATATCCCACACTTAGGCCATTCGCTACTAGATGGCGCTTAATTAATTTGATAGTGACTCTTTTCTGAGGCACAACCATACCGGCATGTACAATGTTGTTTGTATTCCGTGAACGTAATTGCAGTCGTCAAGTCGTGTGGTATGTCGTCCGGATAGTGTACATTTAGCGATTTCGGTGTTACATTCCCGCGAAGTTAAACAAAACAGTGTGAACAAGTTGTGGAAGAAATTCGTGTACTATTCTATCGTTATGAACATTATCTTGACTAAGGACATTTTTGGATTTCATTTTATTTTCCTGAATTAAAGGTATGTCAGTTTAAGCTTAATAGTTAATAGTATAATTATTTTTTGGAGTGCCGAAAGCACGAAAAACTAGCAGTAAAATATAAATTACCTATTGTGTTTTTATACGTACTTAAATAACAGTAATTTTGAGAATATTATTCAAAGGACTTACCTACTTATTTAATAGTTGGATAATATGAAAATTTGAGGTCATTCGTTATTTTGTCGGGTTATAAATTAGAAATAAATAGTATTTTTTAATTAAAATAGTGGTGGGTAGAATTTAAAATTTAAGGCTTAATGTCTTAACTACACTAAAATATTAGTTATTTTAAAGAAATTGGTAAATTTAAGTAGTTCGACTTCATGATGTAAACATGTAATTTTAACACATACCTATGCGCTGATTTTCAAAAGTATCTCGCTGTGTAAACCGCTACATTTACTCCAATGCGTTCGTGCTATAAATAGCTTAACTTAACATTACTTTTTGTAATTTAAAGTTTTTGTTAAGTTGAACGATGCGTCACAAAAAAAACGTGATTCATGTAGGAATGTGGCTCGCCGACAAGACCCAGTTAGATTTACAATTACAAGTATTTCAACAAGTGTTGTGGTATTTGTGACTATTTACCTATTTGCTTATTGACGTCTGACTGACCACAAAAGGAAAAATACAGAGATCATAAATGAAAACCAAATTAGGTATAACAACAGCGTCGCTCTTGTCTCTTATTCTAGTCTAGTCATCTATAGACTTTATACGGATTTCATTTATTGTTTAAATAATAAGGCTATTATATAATTTAAAAATCGAAAAAAAAGAATTCGCCTCGGGCAGGACTTGAACCGGCATCGTCAGCGTTTCCTGCTGTTCCGTGCTCTTAGTAATATTTTAGTATAGTTGGAAATGAAGATAAAACTCTCTACCCAAATGTTTTTTATTAAAATAAAACATTTTAAAGGGTTTTAAACTACAACGATTTGTAATTTCGGGTGTTATGCAGCAGCCGTGGGTTTCGTCTTTTGGTCTCGTTAGGAGTACAGTGTTTTTTTAGCTTTTAAATATGTACAAACAACAGATAAAAATAAATCGTGTCGTCGTCGATCGCGAAGACATTCCTTCGATGTCGTAACTGATAAATTAGTCTATCGCATTATCTATAAAACTGGGTCAAATCAATCCATATAGGCACTGCATGTTACACTTCGCAACATATCGGCCATACCGTTGTCTGACCGACACTAACATACGGCTTCCTGAAACAAATAGGTATCGGGCCGTTTAGAAGAATAATGATGATTACACGTTATTTTATTTATGTCTTAGATATATTTTAAAGGTAAAAAAGTACACATGTTTAATTGAAAAGCTAGTTTCATTAAACAAAAAAGATTTTATAATTTCGTAACGTTCAAAAAATTTACAAATATTGTAGTCCTATATAAGGAATATGACACATTAAAATTCCAGTATTCTACCAGTGATAAAGAAGGTTTCTCATCTACTATGTGAATTCGACGCTACACGTCAAAATCCTGTTTATGGGCTTTTTTGTTATTTACAATCAGATTCTTATTCTAAGTATATGTTTAATATACCAATAAAACAATTGTTCCGATGTTCCCATGATTATTTCTAAATTGCGCATATTGTTTTAAGCTTAAATTATGTAACGTCGACATAAGTTGAAGAGAATCACGACAGAGGTCATTGCCAGTCGAAGGAGAAACGTGGGGCGCGACTTGTCTAGCAATCGTAAGCCTACGGCTATGGGGAGCGCTAAAATGACGCAATCTTCAATATTTTTCAATTCTCTGGAATGGATATCATTCGTTTGTAATAACACTTTGATAAATAAACGTTCTTACGTATCATTTAGTACCACAAAATGATAATAACAGTCCCCTTAGGACCTACTAAAAATAGTTTCTATTAAAACGACGATGCAAAAACAAAAAGTATTTTGAATCATACTGACCTCAATCGTTCATAAAGACAATATAAAATATCACATATGAATCCTGGTATCTTTATTTAATAATAAAATTAATTAACAAGAAGCTAAATAAAAACACAATAAATAACAAAGCTTCTATTTACAAAAGCCTACATAATAATTATTATAGCAACATTTTAGTGGTTTAGTACTGCGCGTTGATATGATCGTAATTTCGAAACGCATCACTCTCTAATACGTAGAGACATTTAAAAACTTTTACATAAAATACGTGTACGGTACGATGAAACGAGTTTTATCGCAGTTCGAGTACTCTTAAATATTTATTCAACAAAGAATTCAATTCGAACTAATAGTTTTAAATATTGTACGTGTACAGAAAACAAAAGTTTTGAACCATCGAAATTTAATAAGTTTCGATTGCATCTTAGCTGCGTTATAAATGGTGATGTAATGCAAATCAAATAAAATAAATGCAGCGTGTAGCGATATTGAATACATCTCAAAATCGCGAACCAGCGATTCTAGGTGGCAAAAGTTCATATTACAAGTACGCCACAGTAATATAAATCTTGCTAGCACGGTGGTCGATGACGACCGAAGAATGTCCATCCGGCTGATAAGTTTATTTGGTTTAATCTGTGATACCCGTGGAACACGGATGACGATATCATAATCATGCAAAAAAATTGGAGTCAGTTTGGTGGGCTTCTTGGTCTAATGGGAGCAATCTATGCCTCGACATGTTTCTAAATAATTTACTTCGTTTGGAAAATCTGAACATGGAATGGGTGGTCGGAATATTGAAATTCCGTTAAATCACCGACCACAGGTTAAAAATGTTTATCGCAGTCCGGTTTCAGTTGAAAAATATAAATATAATTATATAATAGGGCTGTGGTACATTACTCTCCATCAAGTGATACCATGCTTGCCTGTCTCTACATAAAGAAGAATCATGATTTATAAGTTTTTAAAAGGTCAGAAGAATTTTCGTTACTCTCATAAAATTTATATCAAATAATGTTTTATACTTATTTTCACCTTCAACATCGCGCTGTACCAAGTATTCCTATGCATAAAAGCATATATTTATTATTCAAAGTATTAATTCTGAATTTGGCCATTATGAAACCAGAAACTAATGAAGACATTATGCTTTTTTGCTAGTTTTTCAACGATTGAAATTAAGATAAATTCGTATGGAGGCACGTAAGCACTAAGTTCCTGACTGCATAACTGCATACTCTTGTGGCCGCATACCTGACACATGTCAACGCCTTATTATGACTCAATCTTATTACAATATCTCCAATGCCGTTTCACACTTGCACTCTTAAATAACATCTTAATTATTCTTGGCTTTAGTGTTAAGTGTTCGGCCTACGACAGCACAAAACTAAATAATAAGTGAAGAGACCGACAAATAAAACACTTTTAACTGTTTAAAGCACGCAATAAATTTCGTTAACTCATTTTTTTAAATACCCCCGTCACCGCGGCTGCTGCAAAGTACCTGAACGTTAATTAATTAACAATGTAATAGATAATACATAGTTAAATTTAATTTAACTTTACGATTTAAAAATCGAAAATCAATTGAAAAAATTTTCGACTAGGGCAGGACTTGAACCGGTATTGTCAGCGTTCCTTGCAGAGCACAAAAAAATGAACAAAAATAGAAACGATATTTATATACTAAAAATAATGCGGGCTTATCGCTAACGAGCGATCTCTTCCAGGCAGGAAAAAGTTTACGGGAAAATTTACAATGTAAAATATAATCTTAAACATATCAAAATAAAACTTACACACAATTTCACCACTTATCTACGAACTTAAATAAATTGTATAGTGCCTTTATGTATTTATAACATGTAAAAAAATAATAAAGTTTTCTAACGTTAATTTAACTTTTTACGTTTACTAATAAACTTCGCGTTTTAAGCCATGATCCAAGCGACCCTGGACCATATGAAGTAAACCAAACAAGTTAAAATTATAACCATCACAGTGAGCTGCATATATTTGAAAGAGACAAGAATATTGTATTCAGCATAATGCATGACTAATATATAATGTATTCAGTTTGAACAGAAGTTATGCATTTAAATAACTCATTACTTTAAAACTCATCATTTTCAATTTCATAGTGTAATATCGTACAAGTTATCTTAAAATGGCAATTATACAATTATCGTGATTAAATATTATAATATAAACCCGGGTTTGTGACACCTTAAGTACTGACAACCTTTGATGCTAATATAATAGAGCTGAAATGTTTTTTGGCTTGAAAGCTTTAATCTAAGGAACTACGAGTTCGAATTGAAAACAAATATTGTGCTGGTTGATCATTTGTTGAAGAAGACATAAAACCCAGGCTACTTTCCGGGTGAAGTTGGTATTTAACGAACAGATGAGTTGTATTTCGACGGAACAGATAGTCCTAGCGTACTAATTTTTTACTTTGACGTTAGAGACATCCTCCATATTTAGTCTCCCCGTGACCACGACATCCGAAACGTCGGGCGGAAGTTAAAAATCATTTTCAAATAAGTTTAACTTCGCGTTTTAAACCGTTAAAGTGTTTTATTTAAATGTGTACTACTCGCGTACACTGTTCTCATTTAGGTTTATAGAATCCTTAACTAGATCAACATTTCTTCGTTCCGTTTATGACAGGAAACTCATAACTTTTCTCTTGTTACAGGTGCATTTGGATCCGAGAAAGTGCCTTGACAGGTGAGTCGTCGTCTCATAATACGCACTTAGAAGCCATACTGGTTCATACTCAAGTAGACAAGACATAGATAGACCTTTGGAAACCCAACACTAACATGAAACCAACAAATATGGTTATGGAGAGAATAAGTTTCACTACCCAGTAGCTAGCTGTTATTAGAAAAAAGAAGAAAAATAAGAAAAGTATTTAAAAAGAAAATATTATCAATTCTATATTGTTTACTAAATTTTTTTAAGTATTCTCAAGTACCTACAATTTAAATGGTTATTCCACAAGAAACTCAAGACATTTTCTTCGATGTCTGATAGGATATATGATTGAAAACTTTAATATTGTTCACATTATGGCACTATACAAATTAAAAATCGATAATATTAAAAAAAAATTACGACTCGCGCAGGACCCAAATTTTTAATTTATATAGCTTAATTTATTATGAATTAAAATTTATTTTAATCCACCAAATTGGCATGGAATGGCTGAATTAGCTGTAGTCGTGGGTTAAAGTCCCGCCAGTGTCACTTCTCATCTTCCATTACATCTATAAAAGAAATACATAAATAACAACCTTAAAATAAAGATTTAGTAAAAATGTCTTTAAAGCCATCTTTATTCAACTCGGTTTATAAATCCGCTTCTACAGTGGCCCATGATTCATACCGATTCTCATAAATGCAATGAGATAAATTTTCGCGGAACAAATACCTATCCTTTCGCTGAGATTCGAACAGGGAACCGGCTTTATGAATGAAATTCGTCACCGATGACTCACCGTTACTACGATAACGGGTGTATTTTTGCCGACAATAGTATTTGCTAGTATTACAAAGTGCAACATTATGACTATATTTAACAAGACCTCTTTTGTTTTTCAATATTTTTATTTAGCGTTAATCTATATGGAGGTAGATTTAGTGTGAAAATAAGGAAACTATTTGAATTATTTAGTGTTGCATTACTACTTACTAGTGCTAATTTCGTGGTTGGTGATCCACAGGCTAAAAGAAAAACATAAATTAATATACTGTCTTTGTAGTGTTTCACAGGAAGAAAATCGCGTTTAAAAAAGAATCAAACAGTCTTTAACCGGATGTAACAAATCTCTTAGTCTCATACAATATAGTTTACACACAATCGTTCTCGTTTTAAACCAAATTAAAATACGATTGTATTGTATACAATACTTACCGTTCCCATCGACTCACCTCACTTACAGTCTGTATAAATCAAATGAATTAAAACAAACAACAGGTACAAGATATAATTTACAGTACAGGGAATCGATTAAAAAGAATTATTTTTTAAATATGTATTTACTTGTATTTATTCTTTGTCTTACATTGAATAAAATTTCGGCTTATTACTAAATATTCTACCATGTTTTACCAACGCCTTTTTTAATACTAGTGTGTTTATGGTCAAAGGAAAGATCAAGTAATAGGTATAACTTTCTATAATTTGAAAATAATGACATTTTGATCACGGAAGGTGTTGCAACTTGCAATAGGCGCTATAAATATAGGGACTGCTTATCACTCAATTGATTTTCGTGGGAATTCTTACCTATCATTATAGAGCCTATGAAACGTCCATATATAATTCACTTTACGGTTTCAAAATATCTTGTTTATAATCATGACAAAATAAACGATCAGTAAAAACATAGCAAAACCTTAAACTTAATTCTGGATTGGTTTATTAAAAGAAAATATTAAAATGCATTTCTTATCACATAACTAGTAAGAGTAAGGGTATTTTAGTGTTAAGATAGAAAGAGACCTTATTTGGCTATAGACTTATGTTATATGTAGTAATTCAAAGATTATCTATCATTATTTCCATTCCACGACTCATTATTTTGGTGCAAGTTTTTCTAATCGCACAGAAATAAATAAAGATACTCATTATTTGAATAATGTATGACTATAATCACGAATTAAAATGAATATTCAGGGACGCAATACAAGTATTTGCTATTTTATTAAACCTCAAACAGCATAAACCAGTTTTATAGTCTGTGGTCAGCGTAATGCAGAAGCGGACTCCCGCCACAATTACGTGACTGACATCCGTATTGTTTCATTAGGATTCTCAAAATGGCCGGCTGTCAAGTGACAACTGCGTCGATTCGATAACAATGCGCGGTAAAGAGTCTGCTAAATTTAACTTTAAGATCTACGTAAACGATTTCCGAGAAAGCATCGTTTATTCATTTAAGGCTTTGTGTTGAATTATATGTACATTGTGCAAGCGCACATTGTAGCCTCCACATTTTTAAAGAAGTTTATAATAAGTATCGTTATCTAGTGTTTTAATAAAACAGGAGATGCGTTCTTTCTTATGTTAAACATCAAACCCATAATAGGATCGCATATATATTCATATTTCATGTCATGCGATGTAGATCTAAGGATCAGTTTCTACACATATTTAAGAATGAAAACTAAGTCATAGTTACGTGGGGAAGGTAGATATCTACTTAAGATAAATAGGTATATCATGTAAAACGTGTAATAAGGTTTTAATGTTAGTTGCATACCATTCCCATATAAATTGCAAACAAATGACCAATAAGTTACGTTTACGTAAACACACAGTGAGTAATTCCTTGGCCCTATTATAATAATTATTCGATATTATGTGTTTATCCTTTTGTTTAACAATCGAACTGTAGGTATGACAATTCGACTGTCTTAAAAGGTTACACCCGACTTAAGACAATAAAAAAGTGAGTACTTAGATGATGTAGGCATACTTTTTAATTCTATTTATTTAACGATTGTTATTATATTAACTACTACTATATGTACTAAATATAGAAAAATCTTCAAACACTTTCTTCGAGATCTTTTACACAATTCATTATGTAAAATAAAATTTTGTTTAACATTCGTTTTTGAGTGAATCTTAAGATGAGATATAGTTGAGATCTCACGTAGGTACTCACGGCTAACTTCGTATCACAAAGACCGATAAGATTATTAAATATAAAATAACATCGTTCGATGCAAAAATGAATACTTGGATAATAAAATGAAGGAATTATTAAAATTGATATTTTAGCAGTTTTACTTACTTACATTATATTAAGCTTTTGCAAGACTTTTTGAATACTAAAATAGGTAACACCGTCCCCTTTTTTAAGCTTAGTTATTGTTGTGTAGCAACATTTAAGTTGTCTGCGGCCCCTGATCTATTTTAATATATTACGACACTAACGGAAAACCACAACTTATGACGTATCAATTATTCTGCAATTATTGGTTATTGCTAAGGCATTCGCTACTTGTCTAGTGTTGCAATAATATAGAACATGGGAATTATAGAGAAATCACAGAGTTGCGTTCCATTAGGTTCTCTACATACACTTTGAACTTTTCACAAGTAATCTACGTTATTATAGGCTCTCTGATGTTATTTTCCTCTTAAACTGGATCTTTCTGAGACTAAATAAACTATGAATATTCTATTAGAAGGTTACTAATCTATAGAGCTGAAGAGTTTGTTTGTTTCATAGCGCTAACCTCGGGAATTACTGCTTTGAAGGGTAAAATTATTTTTGTTAGTTAGATCATTTATCGAGCAGAAAACATTACGATACGACTAATATGAGGATTATTTATCTTTAACGGTTTTCGTTTGCGTGCGCTGTGAAAATGGTTCAATTACCCAAAAAAATATTAAACAATGATTAATCTGCAAATGATCTAAAAAAATGTCTGCAACGTTATGTCTATCTTTTAAGATTATACTTGCAAGAACGACGGAACAGGAGGTTTGCAAAAACAAATTTTGATGACGAAAATAACTATCCTATCCGGATTAAGCTGACGAGCTGATGGCCCTAAGTTTTTAAGCGTAATATTTTATTGTTCATGTTTTTTAGGAGAAAATATAACGTTTTTAATACTCCTACCACTTATTTTAATAACGTTAGCTCTGTTAAAAAAAGTATTTGCAGCAAAAAGAAGTTTTACGCTGATTTAGCTGCCTCCTAGTTCAGACATACTTAGAGGCCTATTTAAGATCCATTTATGTGAGATAATTGAAAAACTCGTGGCTTCATCACCACCCATAAAGCACTGTCAATTACGTACGTTTATGTAATTGCACGTGCAACATACCAGCTCGATGATTATATCCACAATCCACATTTGGACAGCTCTGGGACAAAGGAAATTCTTGATTAGCAGGAAGCTTATGTATCTAAGCTATTTCATTCATCATTCATAGCTATAGCTTACTTACGAATGATTGATACATATATCAACCTCTAACAAAAACAGTAATGTGCTATCAACCTTTTTATGTTCCTGCACAGCCCGTACATGGCTTTTCCATCTTAACGGTAGTTCGTAACTCGGATAAATTTCCATATAGCACATGAATGAACTCGATGCATCCAGGATTGCTGATGAACAGGTAGCATTGCACAAACATGACTTAGACTCATTTAGTATTTATTGGTTGTTGTCAAAATGTTAAAAAGAAAATATTTGTCCGAATAGTCTTACTAAATATGTGGCTGCTATAGGCAGAGTAGCCTATGTGCAATTATTATGACTTGAGTTATTTATATTTTCATAGTTTATAGCTGTTACTCCATAAGAGCACAGTGACCGAGAATTGGTAACACAATAAGTTAATTTCGCATTTTTTTTCCCCTCCTTATTGAAAATCATGTCTTTTATTATGAGGTCACTCTGCCTCTAGCAACCTCGTATATCAGCTTATTAAAAATCTAAGTAATAAAAGCACTTTGTCTTGTTCATATTACATCGTTGAAGTTATTCTAGAAAAACTAGGCCATTTAAAATTTTCTAGAAAAGTACATGCAGGTTGAAAAAAAACAAACGGCCACCATGCTATTTACGTGGAACATCTGCAATGAAATAGCTAATTGCTCAGCAATTCGCAGCTGCCAACGATAATCTAAATGTCAAACCCTTAATCAATTCTTTGTCAAGGTTGTTTGCAATTGGCTGGAGAGTTCAGGTGA